TGTCTTGAAATTGGTTATTAGGAAATTTCAAGATGCGTAAAGGAGTCCGAGTAAGCCGTGATGAATAAATGATTTAGGATGCAACTGAGTTAGATTATTTCCTGATACGAGATTGGGAACAAGTACATTACAAGTACATTACACGTGTAATTGTTACTTTTTGTATACTGAGCTTGCGTTAAACTTAATACTGCGACAAACGGAAAGCCCAAAGGTACACGTCAAATGTGGCTTTATGTTGTGAAGTGTACTTTGATGACTTGCTATCTCAACTGAAGTGTGTCATTAGTCCGATAATTTGTGCTGATATTTTGTTTTAAGTGCGAACACTTTAATGTAAGTAGTTTACTTGATTTAGACTTTTGGTTTTGTACAAGTAAGACAACTATCTAAAATGTGGTGATTAGAAATAGCGTCTCACAATAAAAGTGATCTAAACATCATTGATCCTCTTCTTATAAAGGTTGTCACTTGTCATCTTCTCCGTATGTTTATCCCCTCCATTCTTGATCGTCAAAACATACGTCCTCATCAAACCATCCATCGTTAACTTTCTGCAGTCCTCGCCAAAACATCAATCGTTAACTTTCTGCAGTCCTCGCCAAAACATCAATCTTTAACTTTCCGTAGTCCTCGCCAAAACATCAATCTTTAACTTTCCGTAGTCCTCGCCAAAACATCAATCTTTAACTTTCCGTAGTCCTCGCCAAAACATCTATCTTTAACTATCCGCATTCACTCCTGTCCACAGGTTTAAACTGTAGACTCTTGTTACATGTATGAGGCTTGAATGTGAAAGTAGTACCATGTGACTATGAGATCTGGTTGATCTCTGATCACATGGTATTGGAGTAATGAGATTATGTATCTCTAGTCATAGATTCCTATAGCTTAGAATTCGGATTTAAATTAGACTACTGGATGGAACCTTGATATAACGACAAGTAACGAGTAATGAGTAAGATTAGATATTACTCTCTGGACACGAAATCCTATGGATTCGTGGTTACAACAATTTGGTAACATGCAGTGAAGCCGCATGAAAAGAAGTCGCATGAAAAGAAGTGCAGACTGTAGGGTGTAGATTGACAAAGAATTCAAGCAGTTTTGTGTGCACAAAACCTTCTCAATTAAATCATTTGTGTGGTTATTTTAGTCTTGAATTGCAGTAATGGTAGAGGATGGTAAATCTGTTAGAGTTAAAAAACGATACGTATTCCTTGGGATTTTTGCTCTTTCAGCAGTATTCGTCCTCCTGCTTCCTGACCAAGCTACAGCCATCTCCAATCTTCGTATAAAAACTGTTAGTGTTACCTCAACGCCTTCTCCGGACATAGAAACGACTGCATCTTCTTCAGAAAATATCAATCACATTTCTTTAGAAGACAAACAATTTTCGGTTTTGGAACCACCCTCTCAAAAATGGGCTCAAGACCAGTTTAAAAAAGCACTGGTCTTAATGGACCAAAAATACAGTCAACCAAGTATGTGGGAAAACTGTGGAAAGCAAACATATTATTTCGAGAACATAAAAACAATTTTCACGGGAATTCCAAAGACAGGATGTTCCAACTGGATTGAGGCTCTGCTCCGAGCTAACGGAGATCTTAAGAACCAACTAAATCCAACTAAGGTGAAAAAGGTACACGGTGGAATTAGCAACAAGCACAGAATACCGAACATATTAAACCGCTTTAACGCCTCAGAATTCCAACAAGATTTCAGTTTTACCGTGGTCAGGAACCCCTGGACCAGAATGGTTTCTGGTTACAGAGATAAATTATCAGACGAGAAAACTCAGGGAGGTTCGTTTCGGTCTATAGGGAAAAAGATTGTGAAAGAGATGAGAGGCATTACTAACAAGCAAGAGCTTGATAAGTTATATCCAACTTTTACAGAGTTTGCTTCATGGCTCGCCAAACACTATGGATCGGGTAACCCACATTTTCACCAACAATTCAAAACTTTGTGTATACCTGCAGCTAGATACGATTATATTATCCCTCTTGAGTATGCTGGACCCTTAAGTCAGGATGTCTGGGGTAGAATCAATGCAAGCACCTCATTGCTAGGATCATATGATGAATCATCGGACCCTCGCCTTCAAAAATCAGCCTTTTATGCTAAGGACTGGTTTTCAAAGATTGACGAGAACACAATTGAGAAATTGTATAATATTTTTAGAATAGACTTTGCTCTTATGGACTATAGTAACTTTACACATCCAGATTTCCCGTTACCTTTGCATGATTTAAAACAATGAAATATAATTAAAATTAAATTGACTTTTAAATTTTACAATAATTATATGCGAAAATGGAAAATTACCAATTAATCTCAATGTAGTTCCCGGTGACCAGGAAGTTACCAGTGTTCAATAATTGTGTTTTGATACAAGAGTAGATAATTTCAATCGAGACGATCAAATTTTCAAACTTGCTCCATGTCTTGAAATTGGTTATTAGGAAATTTCAAGATGCGTAAAGGAGTCCGAGTAAGCCGTGATGAATAAATGATTTAGGATGCAACTGAGTTAGATTATTTCCTGATACGAGATTGGGAACAAGTACATTACAAGTACATTACACGTGTAATTGTTACTTTTTGTATACTGAGCTTGCGTTAAACTTAATACTGCGACAAACGGAAAGCCCAAAGGTACACGTCAAATGTGGCTTTATGTTGTGAAGTGTACTTTGATGACTTGCTATCTCAACTGAAGTGTGTCATTAGTCCGATAATTTGTGCTGATATTTTGTTTTAAGTGCGAACACTTTAATGTAAGTAGTTTACTTGATTTAGACTTTTGGTTTTGTACAAGTAAGACAACTATCTAAAATGTGGTGATTAGAAATAGCGTCTCACAATAAAAGTGATCTAAACATCATTGATCCTCTTCTTATAAAGGTTGTCACTTGTCATCTTCTCCGTATGTTTATCCCCTCCATTCTTGATCGTCAAAACATACGTCCTCATCAAACCATCCATCGTTAACTTTCTGCAGTCCTCGCCAAAACATCAATCGTTAACTTTCTGCAGTCCTCGCCAAAACATCAATCTTTAACTTTCCGTAGTCCTCGCCAAAACATCAATCTTTAACTTTCCGTAGTCCTCGCCAAAACATCTATCTTTAACTATCCGCATTCACTCCTGTCCACAGGTTTAAACTGTAGACTCTTGTTACATGTATGAGGCTTGAATGTGAAAGTAGTACCATGTGACTATGAGATCTGGTTGATCTCTGATCACATGGTATTGGAGTAATGAGATTATGTATCTCTAGTCATAGATTCCTATAGCTTAGAATTCGGATTTAAATTAGACTACTGGATGGAACCTTGATATAACGACAAGTAACGAGTAATGAGTAAGATTAGATATTACTCTCTGGACACGAAATCCTATGGATTCGTGGTTACAACAATTTGGTAACATGCAGTGAAGCCGCATGAAAAGAAGTCGCATGAAAAGAAGTGCAGACTGTGGGGTGTAGATTGACAAAGAATTCAACATTTTGTGCACAAAACCTTCTCAATTTAATCATTTGTGTGGTTATTTTAGTCTTGAATTGCAGTAATGGTAGAGGATGGTAAATCTGTTAGAGTTAAAAAACGATACGTATTCCTTGGGATTTTTGCTCTTTCAGCAGTATTCGTCCTCCTGCTTCCTGACCAAGCTACAGCCATCTCCAATCTTCGTATAAAAACTGTTAGTGTTACCTCAACGCCATCTCCGGACATAGAAACGACTGCATCTTCTTCAGAAAATATCAATCACATTTCTTTAGAAGACAAACAATTTTCGGTTTTGGAACCACCCTCTCAAAAATGGGCTCAAGACCAGTTTGAAAAATCACTGGTCTTAATGAACCAAAAATACAGTCAAGCAAGTATGTGGGAAAACTGTGGAATGCAAACATATTATTTCGAGAACATAAAAACAATTTTCACGGGAATTCCAAAGACAGGATGTTCCAACTGGATTGAGGCTCTGCTCCGAGCTAACGGAGATCTGAAGAACCAACTAAATCCAACTGAGGTGAAAAAGGTACACGGTGGAATTAGCAACAAGCACAGAATACCGAACATATTGAACCGCTTTAACGCCTCAGAATTCCAACAAGATTTCAGTTTTACCGTGGTCAGGAACCCCTGGACCAGAATGGTTTCTGGTTACAGAGATAAATTATCAGACGAGAAAACTCAGGGAGATTCGTTTCGGTCTATAGGGAAAAAGATTGTGAAAGAGATGAGAGGCATCACTAACAAGCAAGAGCTTGATATGTTATACCCAACGTTTACAGAGTTTGCTTCATGGCTCGTCAACCACAATGGATCGGAGAACCGACATTTTTACCAACAATTCAGAACTTTGTGTATACCTGCAGCTAGATACGATTATATTATCCCTCTTGAGTATGCTGGACCCTTAAGTCAGGATGTCTGGGGTAGAATCAATGCAAGCACCTCATTGCTAGGATCATATGATGAATCATCGGACCCTCGCCTTCAAAAATCAGCCTTTTATGCTAAGGAGTGGTTTTCAAAGATTGACGAGAACACAATTGAGAAATTGTATAATATTTTTAGAATAGACTTTGCTCTTATGGACTATAGTAACTTTACACATCCAGATTTTCCACTACCTTTACATGATTCAAAACGATGATTTTACGAAAATTATTTATGTGATATATATTGATAGTATGTATGATGACATTTTCTGGATACCTGTGGTTATCAAATAATTTTTTATAAACTTATGCCAAAACTTCAAGTCGAAAGGTTAACATTTAGACCCGTGTCCTGGCCAACTTAACGATCAGTCGACGCAAAAAAATATTCTTGGTACAAAAAGATTCAAAGAGGTCTGTACGGAATTTCAAGATAGCTACATGTCAGTGTGAAATTGCTGTACACTATAGTGAGCCGTTCTTAGAAATTAATATTAATAGTAAAATATATTTGGCTTATCAAACTAATGTTAATTCCATATTTCAGTTTGCGACAGTAGGTGAAGCGACACGAGCGCGACAGTCGCTCCATGGTGCGGTGTGGCCGCTAACCAGCCCCAAAACTCTTAATGTGGATTACGCGGAAGACGAGAGGGTGAGTTCTTTATACTAACATTACCTTTATAGCTGCTGTAATATAGCTATATTGCAACTTTATTATAGCTGTTGCAATCTACCCTTTCATTTGACGTTTTAATGTGTGTTTTTAGCTTGTTACCGTTGGTTTTATCCCATTTACCCTTCACTTGTAGAACTCTTGAACTTTGATATGGCTGGGGAGAAAGTACACCTGCAGTTACCATGGCAACCATATAACTACACGGATACCTGCTAACTCCTCCCAATCCTTCTTTCGACCTGGATACTATCTGCTCCATCTTCAATCTCTAATTCGTCTTCTGAAGACCATCATTATCAGTTCAGTAATTCCTTCATCACAGACATTATCTAAAATCAAAGACTTTGTTTTTATAAGAAGAGCTCATTTCATATATATATAAAGTGGACTGTACGATTGTTTATGTTCATCTACCATGGACATGATATGATGGTGAAAGAAGAAACTCGGTGATTAGAATCGCTTGAAGTTGAGATTACTCCTTAGCGTCGGGTAAACCTTCCCAAAGGAGAGAGATCTTAAAGATAATCCACCCCTAACAGACTGTACGATGTAACCATGGGAACTGGGAAGGGCTTTACTTCGTTCCCAAGATCCTATATCCTAATGGTGGTCTGATGGAACTGTGAAATTAGAGCAGACTGATAGTGCTGGCTACTCGGTAGATATATGGTAAAGTCTAGTCGCCTCAATATAGTTCACACCAGCCCATGTTGACTGTCCCCTGTTTATTGTCTAACATCGTACGTGTGATTCAGTTTCACTGTGATTAATCAATGATCTAGGCCTCATCACATCCTCCTAATAGGCGTAGTTGTCTAAGATTGCTGTCATTATGTTTATCACATGACTGATCATTGATCAAAGTTTGGGCTATTAACTGTGCCATGATATTATGTACATTGTACACGAAGTTGAACCTAAGTCCTGTTGTGTAACTAAAAATGTCCTGTTACTGTTACGGCCTTGTGTGGAGCGAGAAAATATTTTCTATCATCGGAAAACGGCCTAAAAAATAAAAAAAGGCTGTTATGTTTTTTAGATGTACAGCGAAACAGACGGTGAACTGATCGGAGACAGTATTGACATTCAAGTCTTTGAGGAACAGAAGAGAAAGAAGCCTAGAAAAGAAAAAGGTATTTTTGAATCGGCGTTCATTTTTTCAATTTAGAACATTATTCAATGAACAATAATGATGAACGACTTTGACAGTTGACTGTAATAAGCGTTATAAAGGAATCATATTTGTTGCACTACAAGCACAGTTACTATATATAATCAATAATCATATCAATTGTGTGTGCAAGGTTAGTTAAGAGGGCAGAGGGGGTCTTCATGGAAATTTCCATGAAGACCCCCTGCCCCCCTAACTAATGTTTTCAATATATTAAATATGATTATACGATTGACGATAGAATGAAAGTCTTCCTTTTTCAATTTTAAGATATTTTATTAAAATCGAATTGCTCGATTCGCAATTGTATTTAACACTGGTATTGTTCAGGAGACAAAAAGGAAGCTAAGAAAACTTTATTGGATGATTTCTTCAAGAAAACTGTAGCGGTTCCGAGTATTTATTGGCTTCCTCTCAATGAAAAAGAGGTTCGGTCAAACTTTAAGATTTGATTTTGCGACACAATTTTTTCTTAAATCGCCTAAAAATTTGTAGTATGATACCAGTGAAATAATTTAGCTATTTCTTGTTCAATTAGGGCTAAAAGTGTTTCTTTTGAGATATACAATTCGCAGGCTAAAGCACGAGCAGAAGAGCGTGCGAAAGGAAAGCCGCGCTACTTTGTCCCGGAGCCGGAGCTAGATGCTGAGTACGTAAGACCACGCGCCATTCCCAGGTGGAAAACTCCAGAGAGAACCAGGTCCCCCGCCAGAAGGAGGGTCGATGATAGAAGACGCAGATAAGGACCACGTGACAGCAGCAAATTTGAGTCATGTGACATGTTCGTTATAAACCACTTTAAAGTCCTCAATAAGTTTCGGTTCCCATTGTGATGGTTGACAATGTTAATGGCAGTTTACTCTAACATTTATGTTATTTAAGTTTTATCAGTTCATAAAGTTCAAAAAACAGTTATTTAATCTATTTAATTTTGAGGCTATATGTCCTGTATTACTTTGTAACTTAATATGGCATAATATTCCTGGGACAATATCAAATATAACAGGGGTTCGCACGAGGCATAATATAAGTGTATCTGAGGTTGTTAATTTTATACGCTATTCTGCCAGATTTTATGACAGTTTGTTTTCTTAAGGCCGGTTGTGGCTGGGGTCAGGTTAATATGTGTAAATATAAATTGTCGTTCGCGGTGCGCGTGTTGAAATTTGGCAGAATAGGGCGGTCGATCCAATTTTATATCGAAATGCTTTTCCTAGTAAAAACATAGTTATGTCAGAGACGAGAGAGGGAACATTCACCATTGCTACGCTGCTAAACTTTCGTGCAGGTTCTGTTCGCTTCTACGTCTAGGTTCGGTATACTTGCGCGGCTCAGTTCGCATGCGTATTTTTATTGCAAACTTGGAACCGTGCAAGTGAACCGAACCTGCACAACAGTTTAACACATAGCTATATCTATGGGGATACCTTTACAATATTATCGGGAGGAGTAATAGTATTGTTAATGCCATCAATAATATTGATAATCGTGTATCAGTTTTATCAGAGAGTAGCACCCAGTCTCACATTTTATCTGAGACCGAGGTCGAGTATTATATATTTGACTCTTATTTTAGCCAGAAGTACCTTGGCACATCTAAAGTATTGGCTTGTGAATGAGAATGATATTGATAACGCGCTGACAATAATTTATGTGAAATTACGAATTTAAACATTCAGCTCTTTGGAATTGAACTTTTTTATTTTGTTATTGTGAGCTTTTATAAATCGGAACACTCGTGAATTTAATTGTGATGTTCTACCGGTGCAGTGCCACAGTATCTTGCATCTGGGACGCGTATCATAGGTCATGGTCTATATCACTTTACTTGACTCCTGACTGAACCATCAATTTTCTATTTTGATTGATAATCAGCATCGAATAATGCTACTTTTACGACTCATAAGTAATAATATGATCATTGCTAAAGGCCCTTTTCACTTCTGTAAATATATCAAAAATTCGTGGGGTGATTTGGAATCAGCGTCCTAAAATAATAACGATCAAGGTTAGTTTCCATTAACCGTAACGGATGATACTTGCGTGTCTTGGTAGGTTATAAACCTACAAGTTTCCAACTGTCGGGTAATCACTCTAAGTCTACACGTGACATTTTTAAACATGTTCTCAAGGTGGCCCTGAAGGCCTGAACACTAAATGACTATTCGAAACCCTAACTGAATTGTCCAATTCCACAATCTTACATCAAACACCTGATCGACGACCAAGTCACCAAACTTAATCAAGAATCATGGATTACTGATGGTCCCAGACACGGCTCTTACTAATTTGCTCGCCCAAAAATTATCACGTGACTTTGGTTTTTATGGTTTTGTAGCCGAACAAAACGGTTTCACATAAACCCTTCACCTAACCATGTGCTTTCGCGCCACTGCGGGCGCGCTTGTTTCACAAGTCAAGAAAAGCACCTATCCACGAACCCCGATGGGAAGGTTCCTTTTTACCGCCGTGAGGCGGGCGCGCGCTACTGCAAGCGCAAGGGCTCTGGATAGAGCAACATAAACCCTAATCCCAACCCTAACCATAACCCCAAAGCTATCCATAACCCTTACACGAGCCCTAAACAATCAAATTCGTGTTTTACTAGCCTGTCGCGTGACCAAAACAGTTTTTCGCCCATAACTTTCCAGGGAAGCATTTTTAACAGAATCAGCGTCCAAAAATACATCGAACTAGATTACTTTTAAACCTTCAGGGCCTTTCTACAAGAACTTTCTTAAAATTTGGGCGAGCGATTTAGTGAGAGCGCCCAGACACACTAAACTGACATTCGGACACAAAAACATCAACATCATCAAAAAAACTCAACATTACACTCAGTAACAACAGACAAAATTACAGAACTGCAGTGCACCTCATCACGGGACATTGTGGCCTTAACAAACACCTTGACGGATGTTACTCGTCTAAATTTCTTCGAAGTAGCGCGCGCCGCTTTCTTGCCCGATGGCAAGTGCTACGAAGTAGCGCGCGCCGGGCCAGATCATTAACAATGGTCAGACAAACACTTGACCATTGTTAATGATCTAGCCCGGCGCGCGCTACTTCGTAGCACTTGCCATCGGGCAAGAGAAGAAAGCGGCGCGCGCTACTTCGAAGAAATTTAGACGAGTAACATCCGTCAAACAAACACCTACATACCATTCGCAAATCAGACACAAGCTTGCTTGTCCTAAATGCGGCGACGAAGAGGAGACTGTCTCACACTTTCTCGTACAGTGCCCGGCTATTGCCCAAATAAGAGGTCAATATTTCCGGGACTACTACCTCTCTGTCAATGACATATTCGACAACCAACACAACTCCACCAATACCATGTGCCAAAGGAGTTGGATCAGCCCGGTATAACATAGCGATTACTCAAACTTTGTAGGTTTACAACCTACCAGGACGCGCGCCGAGTTGGACTCGTCGACGGTCCTGGTAGGTAGAAATACGACTCAATTACGGCAGAAAAGTGCCGTAGATGCTGATTGGCTGAGACGTTTGCGCCAATAGGAGAGCTTATATTGAGTCACGTGAGCTATGCGCGGCGTAAAATCACTCTGCAGTTCGAAATTCTGTGATAAAATCGAGCGCTCATCAATTTTGTCTGGCTCTGTAACTTCACTTCCTCACGCAGTTTATAATCGATTCACTGTTGTTTTGTTCGTTGTCTATGACCGTATTGAAATTAAGCTTAACATTTGATAACAGATTCTATTCACTTCCAGCTTTAATTTGATCGCTTGCTGAGTTGCATGTCATTTGTTTGATTGTTTCCAGATTCAATCTGACCGGTGTATCATCAATCAATATTACGGTTCAGTCATTCAGTGGGCCATAATTAAGCTGCTACCTGTGCATATGCAGATGAACAAACGAATATTGTGGTGCATGCCAATGTAAATGAAGGTTTTTGTCGCTTACCTTAGTGTACAGCAGGGTGTCAGAATTATTGGCGTGTTTGAAATTTTATGTGTATTTTATGATGAAATCAATATTTTTCGACGGGTCATAACTTTACTTCTGAATATCGAAATTACAAAATTCAAAAACTGGTCTGTAGACAATCGTCTGAACTTTTTCTTAAATTCAGAATTTTGTGTTGATGTACCTCAAAACCCATAATTTAGGCCGTTATTTAAAGGGTCGATTCCATACTTGGTTAGATTTACGAAGGAGTAAGGGATTTATGTGTAATTTTTTTTGGTGAATTTTTTCTGAAATTATTCTTTAGACTAAAGTGCACAACTCTTCAGGCGACAGCGAAACATATAGAAAACTATAGATTTTATAAAAGCTCTCTTTCTCCTCTAACTGACGCAAGAAAATGTAGTCAGGCGGATTCATCCCGGAATTCAGGAGAAGCAGCCGAAGGCTTCAAGTCCAATTATCCAAATTTTTCTCTTTCGTCGTAATTATCGACGAAATTTAACTTCTTTCGGACTTTGTTTTTAGACTGAACTGTAGTATGAAGGATTATCTCTCGAATGATTAAGACTCCATAGGAAACTGTACAATTAATTTTGAAGATCAAACATATTTTTACTATTGGCATTGTTGATGCGACCTAACCCGATCGTTTTTGCTATAACTATATCCCTTGAACTATATGTTCAAGACTAGAATTTCGAGTTCTCCTTATGCTACAGGTACTCCAAATATCGTATGATAATAATAATCTAAATCATTGGCTAGAAATGACGTGACACACTTGTAATCCAGTGGCAGTAATGTTTATTAACGGCATTACATGGAGTCCCTGTTCATTTTACCAAATAATGAACTGTGACTAAACTTCCAAGTTGAATTCTTTAACTTGCCCCTCGGACGTTATTCCACAGTAACAGACCTGATACAACGTGAGGGACACCAGTTATATATCGGTTATTAAATATAAGGCTGATGTGTTAAGTTATTAATTGTTTCTAAGGTGTGTCCCAATTCCCATACATCCGTTTACACTCAGTGTGTACTGAACGATTTGCTTATAATAACAAGAACCCATTTGTGTATTAAAACATAGACCTCAGTTTGTAAAGTAAATCTTTTGAGTTTGTAAAGTAAATCTTTTGAGTTTGAACACCTCCTAGTTACCATGGTGATAATTCCAGAGATATCACGCGATTTGGTAACCAAGTAAATTGTTATAATTGAATGCGTAGAGTACACTAATCATTGGCTTTTACTTTTAGTGGCAGTAATTTTTATTGAACTGTGACTAAACTTCCAAGTTGAATTCTTTAACTAGCCCCTCGGACGTTTCCATAGTAACAGACCTGATATAATAACGTGAGGGACACCAGTTATATATCGGTTATTAAATGTAAGGCTACTACGATTAGCTATTAAGTGTTTCTAAGGTGTGTCCCAATTCCCATACATCCGTTTACACTCAGTGTGTACTGAACGATTTGCTTATAATAACAAGAACCCATTTGTGTATTAAAACATAGACCTCAGTTTGTAAAGTAAATCTTTTGAGTTTGTAAAGTAAATCTTTTGAGTTTGAACACCTCCTAGTTACCATGGTGATAATTCCAGAGATATCACTCGATTTGCTAACCAAGTAAATTGTTATAATTGAATGCGTAGAGTACACTAATCATTGGCTTTTACTTTTAGTGGCAGTAATTTTTATTGAACTGTGACTAAACTTCCAAGTTGAATTCTTTAACTAGCCCCTCGGACGTTTGCATAGTAACAGACCTGATATAATAACGTGAGGGACACCAGTTATATATCGGTTATTAAACGTAAGGCTACAACGATTAGCTATTAAGTGTTTCTAAGGTGTGTCCCAACTCCCAATTCCCATACATCCGTTTACACTCAGTGTGTACTGAATGATTTGCTTACAATAACAAGAACCCATTTGTGTAAATATTACATTATATCATACCTACTATTTAAGCTTCAATTATCCGTTGAACATGGATATTAAAACATAGACCTCAGTTTGTAAAGTAAATCTTCTGAACACCTCCCAGTTACCATGGTGATAATCCAAGAGATATCACGCGTCTTTCTAACCCAGTATCGCTATAATTGTATAATCGAATCCGTAGAAAGTGCAATTATCATTGGCTATCAATGACGTGACATAGTTGTAGTCTAGTGGTAATAATGTTTTTGGCTAGCTGACTGAACACGCCATTTTGGAACTAAATTGATCGTCTCCAGGTCCCCGGACAGTTTCATCTTTAAATATCTTAGTTAATTAGTTTAAATCAGACTTATAGACAATAGATTACAGAACCCTTGATTTCATCGCCTTTGTACACTGCAGTACAGGAGTAAAACTCCTACATACAATCGGAAAATGATCTGACGGTGTACACTCTTTAAATGTATAATAACCTCCTTTTAAAATAAAATATATATTTTTAACAAATTTGCTGTTAATTAGTACTTGAGTATTTAGTATCCGTGTAAATAAGTCCTCTTTACTGGTTTTTGTCGTTGCTTAGTAACCTTAAAATGTGTGCTTTTAACGGTATAAATACGGTAAATATTTAACTCTGTGAGATTATCATGAACTAATACTCTTCAAAATTTCGTTAGCCAGGACTGATCTAGTGCAAGATGAAGTACTGTTAACTTTTAACGAGAACAAGCAGAGTTAAGTTTTCGTTATGGAGAATGGAGAATGTAAGCAAGTGATTTTTAAATATCATTTTCTACTGATAAGTTTTTAATTTATATTACAACAGGTAAAAACTGTCTTCTTCTCTGTTGGACGTTGGTAGGTTAAACATTTGTGTCATTGTAAACTAAAAGTTAAATTATTTAAACGTAATTAAATTGATACATCTCACTAATTCAATATATTTATCCAGGTGTTTGGGCAGAGTCGGACAGATTTTAGAAAATCGCTAGGGTACCATCCTGCAGAAGATGGTGAACATATTTATTAATAATAAGCACTGCTACATTTGACTAGAATATGATAGAGGAGGGAAAAATCCAACAGGCGAATTAAAAGCCCGTGCTATAATACCACTCTTTCTTAACTTTAACTATCTCATCAATCAAGGTTCTTCAAAACTGTCTTCTTCTCTGTTGGTAGGTTATACATTTGTGTCATTGTAAACTTAAAGTTAAATTATTTAAACGTAATTAAATTGATACATCTCACTAATTCAATATATTTATCCAGGTGTTTGGGCAGAGTCGGACAGATTTTAGAAAAGCGCTAGAGTACCATCCTGCAGAAGACGACGAACAAATTAGCACTGCTACATTTTACTAGAATATGATAGAGGAGTTATACTGTTATTCTCCCCTTTGCTTTTTCGCTGAAGCTCGTTTACAGACAACACTTCCCCTGGAACTGGATCACGATCACGAAAGATAAAACCCGAAGGTGACCTACTCTGATCTTGTTATCTCAGATTCTCACAAAGTAAATTTATCATAATTTCCGCATACCCCTCTAAGTAAGACAGTGCTAATTTAGTCGTTTACTATTATATGTTTCGATGACATTTTCGAATTGTTTTAATAGACTCAGTTTCTAATGAAATTAAATCGTGAAATCATTTTCTAATGTCATTTATTGTTAACTTGAATGCAACTTGGTTGTGAAATAGGTTATTTTATTTCTGTGCAAATTTGTAGACTTTTAAGTCAACTACTTGCAGGATAAGATTTTCAACAGAACCAAGAGCGGTACCCAAATCAACGATGTGGTTTGCAAGGGAAGCAGTGGTCAAATATCCTGTTCAAACTAAACAGAATTCTCGTCAGATCCGGTAAATTTATAATGATTTGATAAAATTATCGATGCAAATGACAATCTTTTAGATTACAAAATCAGTCAAGCAATCTTAACCATATTGTTGCAGATTTTGAACTATACCGCCGCAACCACATATGTTTGTTTGTTTGTTTATAGAACCCGTCCCCAATCTCGTATCGGAAAATGACTAAACTCAGGTCTGAGTGTGAATACGGGTGGTACCTGCAAGAGTGTTCATTAAGCATTTAGAGTTCTGTAAAACTGCAGTTACAATTGTGCTAGAGTATTTTTAGTAACCACATATAAACCACCAGATTAAATTTTGAGACACAAATTTACACTTTCTGGCCTTTAGAGAATATCACGCTGTATCAACAAAAACATGTACCTTTTGGTCGTTTAAATCGCCCTGGGCAGTGGCACTGCGAGGTATTGACAGCAAATAGGAGCTATAAATTTGGTTTTCAATTGGTTTAAACAAAACAATGCATGTTTCTCCGCCAATATATTCCTACTAATATGACTAATACTGTGTCTGTGATAAAGCGTACGTAAATAATCGATCGGCTGTGCATGGTCTCCCATGATATTTAATGGTTTATTAGGGATGATGTGGTCCCTGGGAAGGGGCATTCCCAGTTTAACCTACTTACTCTCCAAACTTGGGGTAAATAAAACTTCGCATTATAATTATTATTTATGAAAAGAAAATTGAACATTTCAATTTCCATGATCCATTAGGATATTGTTAATAGCACTTGCTAAGTTTTGTAAAGGAATTAGCAATAACTTTAGTGTCACTTTGGCAGTTGCCAATTTATGGGGATATTTCCGCATTGCATGACATGGACCATTTAAATAATATCTTAATTTGATATTGCGATTATCGAGTCACTCTGAAACAAATTGTGTCTAACTAGACCAAATGTAAACAACAGTTGTGCATGGAAATGGATTGGATATCTACATGAATTTAGTCGAAATTGCATAGTGAAAGGTCATTTCATAATAAATTACTCGTATAAACTCATACTTCATACAATTCTAAGTTCTTATGTACATGTTCAATGTTCATGATTCGCTGTAGAATAAAGGGCGGTTCACAAAAAACACTTTTCGTTCAAATAGTTAGATATCACCTTTAATTAGTTGCTCTATAGGGTCAAGAACAACCACAATTTTTTTTGTGTCCCTACGGTTTCGTATAATACTGACTTGGGCCACGCCCATATTTTTCACCAATTTTTAAAAGGTAAAATTCTCTAAATCGTCAATTTAGTCACGAAGGAGTATGGAAAGAGTTCTAAATGTGTGCTCCTCTAATATAAACAGTAGGAAATGGTTAACTTAAGTCGAGGTCTCAGGTCTCAGGTCTCTACAATGTCGGGAAGTTCCTGCAGGAATTTGGGCATTGCGCTTGAAGCGCAAGATTCACTGCGCCAAAAGCGAAGGTCGTAGAGACATGAGACCTTGACTAAAGTTAACCATTTCATACCATTGCTATAAGAGTATGGCACTTTCAGAGCCCTGAACACACTCCCATATCTCTTAATCGTCAATTATATGAATTTTACCTGTTAAAATATATCTTCTTTTACTGATATCAATTTAGTTTAACACTGTTAGTTTTTAAAAAGAACATAATACTTCACACCAAACTAACACACAATATGATAATATAGGGTTACTTCTACACACAGACATAACCCTTTATCAACTGTAATATAACATAATTGATTAAAGTATCAATGTCTGGCGAGATATTTGTTTCTGCACACTGAAGATGTAGCGAGGAGCCTACACTGCACGTGGGCGAAATTTTCCCGCTTAAACTGACTCGATACTAACTGAAACTCTACACTTTGCATTTCATGGGAGCGTTATAAGGGAGCGTTCACATATGACGTCAGCAGCCGAGGGGGAGGCCGGAGGGGGTTGTGAAATGCTGACGGGAGGAGGGGGTTTGAGGGGGGGGGGGGGTTGGGTCGCTCAATGCTGAAAGTTGCTGACAGGCGGGGGGGGGGGGTAAAATTTGCCAAAATAGTGCTGATTTTATATGTTAACGCTCCCTATAATAAATGCTCACTCTGCATTAACTAAGAATTGAATTTAGCAGTTGGAAGTTTGAGGGCTGAGGCGATTTCTTTTCAAAATTTGTGCCGGCCCCCATTTCTTGCCCCCATTTCTTGCGCCCATTGCGAGCTTGCCCCTTGCTGGTTTAGAGTGGTTACTTATAGTATGTGTTTGGTGTGTAATAATTACAACCTTGCTATCAAGCTCAACCAAAAATATTAGATCGTAGAGTAAACACTAAACCATGGCCATCTTGTATTGATCTAAAGACGTTTAATGGTTTGTACTGAAATAGTTGCAAACTTTTCCATAACCGTTTTGCTAAGATGACTACGTAATTAATTTTTATAACTGCAATTATACTCAATAGGCGTACGTCATACTATTCTAATGGTAAAATAATAATGGGGCGACATAAGTTGAAGTGTCCGTAGCCTAGGAGCCATCAAAAGTCATTACCCAGGTTCATGGAATGAACGGAAATGAACAAACATGAACATTATCCTCAAAGTACTCAAAATTGTTCAAAATTGGTCGGAAAGAGTTTAATATAGGTCCTAGGAGTACTCAAACCAAGTTTGGGAATCACTGCATGTCTAGCACCGATGTAACCAATGTGCCAATTTCGTCCCAATAATCGTCCCGAGTATCTGCAGATTTTTGGAACATGGGGACTTCGAAGTATTGGCTGTATTTGAGTGCTGGGAAGCCTCAATTCGGTTTTCTAAGATGGATATAGTTAAAAACTAGGCCTAGGAGCCATCAAAGGTCGCATAACATTACCCATGTTCATGGAATGAACGGAAATGAACAAACATGAACATTATCCTCAAAGTGCTCAAAATCGTTCAAAATTGGTCGGAAAGAGTTTATATTGGTCCTAGGAGTACTCAAACCAAGTTTGGGAATCACTGCATGTCTAGCACCGATGTAACCAATGTGCCAATTTCGTCCCAATAATCGTCCCGAGTATCTGCAGATTTTTGGAACATGGGGACATCGAAGTATTGGCTGTATTTGAGTGCTGGGAAGCCTCAATTCGGTTTTCTAAGATGGATATAGTTAAAAACTAGGCCTAGGAGCCATCAAAAGTCACATAACATTACCCAGGTTCATGGAATGAACGGAAATGAACAAACATGAACATTATCCTCAAAGTGCTCAAAATTGTTCAAAATTGGTCGGAAAGAGTTAATATTGGTCCTAGGAGTACTCAAACCAAGTTTGGGAATCACTGCATGTCTAGCACCGATGTAACCAATGTGCCAATTTCGTCCCAATAATCGTCCCGAGTATCTGCAGATTTTTGGAACATGGGGACTTCGAAGTATTGGCTGTATTTGAGTGCTGGGAAGCCTCAATTCGGTTTTCTAAGATGGATATAGTTAAAAACTAGGCCTAGGAGCCATCACAGGTCGCATAACATTACCCAGGTTCATGGAATGAACGGAAATGAACAAACATGAACATTATCCTCAAAGTGCTCAAAATTGTTCAAAATTGGTCGGAAAGAGTTAATATTAGTCCTAGGAGTACTCAAACCAAGTTTGGGAATCACTGCATGTCTAGAACCGATGTAACCAATGTTCCAATTTTGTCCCAATAATCCTCCTAAGTATCCCATATTCAATTTTGCGACCAATTTTGTATTATATTTTCGTTAAATTTCCTATCAGAATTATGTACACAATTATTAGCACACGTACCTGAATTCTCTCCAAGTGAAGTTGGCAATTAAAATAATATGTTGTTATGTAATATTCCAACTTCATGACCGAAATGTTATCACGAGATGTACATGTTCGCTTACTTTGTCATTACTTTATTACGGCAGGCTGCGGTAATCTATAAATAATCATACTTTACACACATTTCTTTACACGCTGTAGGTTCCACATTGCACATTGGCGTATCATATTCCACTTAAAATTAAAAATTACCATGCACACGCACAAATTGCCCATTTTTGTCGATAAATGGTACATAAAAATGTAACCATTTATCGACAGAAATACGATATATATAATGTTCCCGAATAGTATAACCTAAAAATGACTTGTTTGAAATCAAATATCTAATTAGCCGAGTTCTGATTATATCTTACCAACCTTCCCGATAACACCAGTTTGTATCTAAACATTTGCTCCTAATAGCAACACTGACGTAATGGGTTTTATTTTCAGTTACTGATGGACTGACCTGCCATTGTGTGATACTGATAGTCGCCGAAGGATCTCTCTGACATGAAAACGGCTATACTGACGTCTGACAAAGTTACTCAGAATGTTCTTTCTTCTCTAATCTCTGACTCTCATTTTGCTGTGCCGGAGCCCGGAATGTCGTGCCCTTATTATTTCTGGAAGATAATGTACTGCTGGGAATAATCTATACTCTATTTCTCCTGAAACTGTAAAACATACAGTAGGTGAGGACATACTAGAATTTTTGGAATATAATTATATGGCTTACAAATACAATTCAGTCACACTGTAGGCTCAATATTGTGAACAGTCATAATTGTGGGTCAAGTTTTTGTAGCTTAATCAGTAATGCATCATGTCTTAACTCCCAAACCATCTGATAAACCGAGTTTCAACCTCTTTGATCAATTAAAATGAATTACTTTCAGTTACTGCCAAAACTTTCTTCTACAAATCCTCTACAATGATGCCGAACGCTTGAACTTGAAGATTGAGTTAATCTTCAAGATGTTGCTCCGATCAAAGAATTTAAGATGACAATTCCAGTTCATAATGTTACACTGTGCACGGGATTTAGAAAGATAAACATTATATATTATAATCCGTTGTTTCAATATTTTGTTTTCTTTGTTAATCACTAACTGATCGATGATCTAACTAGGTTTTATCTCTAACTTAAACTGTGATCTGAGAGAAGCTTTATCAGTGTGTAGTGTGCGTGCAGTACTGCGCCGTGACGTAATAGGACAAAAAGTACCTGCCACCAATGGTCAACACCAAAAGCGCGGCGTACTGCGCGCGACCAACTTTTTCGCCCGTACAATATATGGAACAGATATTTTACGAGTATCACCCGTTAACTCAAACTGCAAACGTCGTCTTAGTTCGCCTCTCTAGCTTCCACACTCATTACTGGGCGGCGCTCAGCCTAGGTCATTCCGTCGAATCTTTATTCGGGCTGAGTAAATTACGACTTCCATCGCCCTGAAAAAAGTGCGAATATTCATTGGATGTTAGAGCGCACGTGACTAGCATTCACGTGATCGTTCAGAACCAATTACAGCCGCGCAAAAGATCACGTGCACGCCAACTACCAATAAGAAAGAAGTGACGTATGCGCTACAAGAGCCGCGCGCTGAGTTAGATTAAACAATCTGATTATTTGATTGTAAAATCGCATAAACGCGCCTATTTGCGCGTTTTAGAGGGTTCAAATACGCCAGGCTATGTTAATGAACATAATAGCCTGGGGTCCCCAGGTAACCACACTCAATACCACCGGCCACTTATTAAGCGTTCATCTATGACACAACACTTACCATGTCATCCTTGACTACACATTTTGATTCCGCCGGTATCCTCCCACAAGACTGCCATACCCCAGAGGTAGGCAAAGCATCTGGCTTTTACTAAATCGCTCGCCCAAAAATTTCACGTGACTTTGGTTTTTTTGGTTTTGCAGCCGTACAAAACGGTTTTACATAAACCCTAATCCCAACCCTAACCCTAACCATAACCCCGAAGCTATCCATAATCTTAACCACAACCTTAACCCTAACCCGAGCCCTAAATAATCGAATTCACGTTTTACTAGCCTGTCACGTGACCAAAACGTTTTTTTGCCCATAACTATCCAGGGAAGCATTTTAACCCTACGTCATGGGGGGTGATTCGGGATCAGCGTCCAAAAATACACCGATCTAGATCACTTTCATTGTTCATGCCTAAAAGGCCTTTTCACAAGAATTTTCTTAAAATTTGGGCGAGCGATTTAGTAGGAGTGAAAGCATCCATACGCTTTCCTTTCGTGGGCCAACCAGGCCCAGCCTGATCTCTTTAATAAAATTTAAAACCCTAACTGCTAACTGAAGCATTAGCTGCTCAAACCTTGTAACAGTGATCACATCGTGACACCCACTGTCGCTTCACTATAGTGTAGAGTTTCAACGATACATGTGACATGGGGAGACCCCCGTCAGCAACCTAACCGCCAGCGTTTCCATACTCCCCTTTACTTGGCTGATGACGTCATATGTCATATGTGAACGCTCCTATGTATGGCCATATTATATATGACGTGATCGAGTCAGTTTTTTTCGCCAGGGAAGCATTTTAACTTTTTAACTCTATGACATGTTTGTATTATATCACAACGTGACCCCCAATGTCGTTTCACTAAAGTGGCGTTTCTAAGCTACGATACATGGGGAGCCGCGCACTCGTGCGCGGCGGGTCATACATTGTATGGCAATGTCATGTGTGATGTGGGGTGATTCGAAATTAGTGTTCCAAATACATGACGAGATACACAAATCATTTGATAATTTTGTCATTTCTAATCTGTTTCACATCATTTTTTCAGATCAGATGCAACATGTAATAATCTACCGTCTCAGAAAAATTAGGCGTCCAACATGTTCACAGAGAACAATATAGGTGTATATTGCTACCAATAATTTTTTCAAAAACATTTTAACAAAACACATGATCTACTCCATTATAGGGGCTCCATTATAGGGGCATTATGTCTCCTATGCCTTCTGCTCCTATACCCCCTCCTAGAACTCCTAGAACTCGAAAAGATCCTATAGCAGAGTATATAAAATCGGAAAGACTGAAATCAGACAAGGTAGAAGAGAACCCTGTCACTCCAAAATCGGATCTATGTGGAATCTGCAATAAAGGAGATGGGAAAAGAACATCCAGATGGGTTGAGTGCGGAAAATGCCAGGTATGGTTCCACATTTCATGTGTCAATGTTTCAATAAAACAATATGACATGATAAGTAAAGAGTCTACCGAGTGGACATGCCAGAAATGCAAGAAAACTGGCAAGATGGATAAAATTAAGTTGACGTGGGGAGAAATGAACAGTGAGGAAGCCATTACTGAAATGGTCAACAGAGTGTATGCAGAGATAATAACATGGGATAAGAATTTAATGCGACTTCCACGTGGTAAGGCTGGCAAAGACTTCATCCTTGAGCTAACCAGGCTGTTCTCTATGTTCACCCCTGATTCTGTATGGGAGAAGGTTTCACTTTCCCTTGTTCAGATATTTATTCCCTTGATCCTTCAGAAACCATCAGCAAGATCTAAAGCTCGTGAGAACAACAAATATCTGATCTCCAGGCTTCAGAAATGGGATATCGGAGACATAGAGGGACTCTTAATTGAGTGTAAAGTGATACAGAGCCGCCTTCAGAAAACAAACGTCACTAAAGAGTCCAATGAAAAGAAGGCTTTCTGCCGGAGAATGCTTCAGGGTAAAGTAAAGGAAGCCACACGACTAATAGACAACGAGAAGAGAACAGGCATTCTTCCTATCGATGACGACACAATCAGACAGCTACGGGAGAAGCATCCCCCTGCAACAAAACGTGAGGGGCCAGAGAAACTTCCAACAATCGATATCCAACCTGTATTGTTTGAAGAAATCGATGGTGAAGCTATAAAAGCTGCGGCCAAGAATACCCATGGTTCAGGAGGCCCCACCCTCATTGATGCTGATGGTTGGAAACATATCTTATGCTCAAAGAGCTATGGAAAATCCAACGATATCCTAGCTCAAGCCATAGCCGATGTCACCAAAAGACTATGCACAGAAACTATTGATCCTTCCATGCTCAGTGACCTTCTTGCAAGTAGATTGATCCCTTTAGATAAGCGACCAGGAGTCAGACCTATCGGCATTGGTGAAGTTTTGCGACGTATCATGACAAAAACTGTAACAAGAACCATCAAAGAACACATTAAGGAAGCAAGTGGGTCTCTTCAAACTTGTAGTGGCATTGAGTCAGGCATAGAGGCTGCAGTTCACTCAATGGCCGAGAACTTTGCCAACGAAAACAGCCAAGGCCTTCTCCTAGTTGATGCTTCAAATGCGTTCAACAGTTTACACCGAGAGCAGGCCCTAGATACTGTTGCAACAACCTGCCCTGTGTTTCACCAATTTCTCAAAAACACCTATCAAGCAAGGACAAAGCTCTTTATTTCAGGGTCAAAGTCAGGGGAGTTCATCTGGGGTGAAGAAGGAAACACTCAAGGAGATGTTGCAGCAATGCAATTTTACTCCATAGCCACTAGACCTATAATAGATGATCTCAGAGCTTATGCAGAAGCAACCATGGTGTGGTACGCTGATGACAGCTCCGCATGTGGAAGCTTCATCCAACTTCTTCAGTGGTGGAATAGACTCTGTGACATCGGCCCGGGATATGGGTACTACCCCAACGCTAAAAAGACCATTCTAATTGTCAAGAATCCCGAAGACCAAACTGAAGCAGAGACTCTATTTGGGCATCTTGGTGTTAAGATCACGACATCTGGAGAACGTCACCTTGGTGCTGTGTTAGGCTCAAAGAAATACAGGGAAGATTACATCAAAGAAAAAGTTGAGAAATGGATAACAGATATTGAGCAACTTGCTGATATTGCATCTGAAGAACCACAGCTGGCTTATTCAGCTTTCACCAAAGGAGTATGCCACCGATGGAGGTTCTTCATGAGGACAATACCTGATATTGCTGAGTACTTTGCCCCACTGGAGAGCAAGATCATGCATGTACTCATTCCAGCCTTCCTTGGTCGCCCAGTCAGCCAGCACGAGAGAGATATCCTCGAACTTCCTGTTCGATGTGGAGGGCTAGGCATCATCAATCCTGTCCGGATAACAACCCGTGAATATGTTTACTCAGTAGCAGTAACTAAAGACCTTGTGAGTTTGATCAACCAACAAGACCAGGATATCACCAAGCTGGATCTGGGCAAGACAAAAGAAAAGAAAGAAGAACTGAGCAAACAGAAAGAGGAGTTTCTCTCCCAAAGGTTCAAGGTGCTCTATAATGAGTCAGATCATCAACTTAAGAACCACCTAGACCAAGCAAGAGAGAAGGGAGCCTCAACATGGCTCTCAACACTACCACTGAAGGACCTCAACTATGTTCTGAACAGGCAGGAGTTTCAAGACAGCATACGCCTACGTTATGGTTGGAAGATCCAAGGAGTGCCCTCTAAATGTGCCTGTGGAAATGTAAACAGTATCTACCACGCCCTTGACTGTAAACTAGGTGGATACGTTGCCATGCGCCACAATGCCATAAGAGACACTGCTGCTTTCTTCCTCCGAGAAGCAAAGTGTAAAGACGTAAGGATAGAACCAGCACTCCTGACAGTCCAACCAAGCTCATTCTCAAGGAAGACCAACACCCAGGATGAAGCCCGTCTTGATGTAGCAGCTGTCGGATTGTATGCACCTTTCGAAAGAACATTCTATGACATCAGGGTCACACATCCCAACTGTGACACAAATACATTTAAGCCACTAGATAAGATCTATAGAGATCATGAGAAAGAAAAGAAAGATTTTTATGAAGAGACTAGAGAGTACTTCAGTCGGAGAAGGGATCCTTTGTCCCTCTAGTCTTCACAACCTCCGGAGGTATGGGACCGCTCTGCACAGTGTTTGTAGATCGTGTCTCTGAGATGATAGCTGACCACAAAAAAGAAGCCAAGAGCCAAGTCAAAAATCATATCAGAACACGATTCAGATTTGATCTGTTAAGAAGTACACTCATTGCACTGAGGGGAATCAGAGGAAGGTCAACAGCCCAGCATCTTGAACTGCAAGACGTATCCTTCAACCTCATTCCCCAGAAGACGAGCTTTGAGGTCTCCTAGATTTATTTATGTAAATTTTGTAGATATTTTACTGTACTATTTTATATTGTATACAATTTTACGGACGAAATGA